AGATGACAACAGAACACCACAAATATTAAAGACAAAATGAGCCTAAAAAAATGTGCAATTCTAATCACACATATGGATTCTAACCACATATCAGTCATGCTCCTAAATAAGACTTGCTCTACAAGTAGGAGAAAACAAAGTTACATAAAAATTGGGGAGAATGTGTGCACAATTATACTTTTTAAAAGCAAAGGAGACTGTGTGACTCTTTACAAAATATAAGACAAAAGCTGTCTTATATAACAAGACATTAGAATTAGAATGGACCAATTAAAGAAGAAAAAAAGAATAAGTGATCTGACAAAATGCAGTCATTCTCAAGCCCTCACCCACAATCTAATAATTCCCAAATCCTGCTCCAGCTTAGACCTCAACTCTGAATTCTGGATCTGACTATCCCACTGCCACCTGAACACATCCATGCAAGTGTCACACACCACCACAAACCCTGCCTTCACCCTCCCCAACCCTGGCCAGTGAGCAACCCCACCATCAATAGTTGTCGGATCTGGGAAACCTTTAAATTCACTCCTGGTCCATCGTTATGCCACCGAACTAGCCGTTGGTCCCATTCATTTGTAGTAGTGTGCTTGGGCTGCCATAACAGAATACCACAGACTGAGTGGCTTAAACAACAGAAATTTATTTTCTCACAGTTCTGGAAGCTAGAAGTCTGAGATCAATGTTCTGGCTGATTCCATTTCTGGTGAGGGCTCTCTTCCTTGCTTGTAGATGGCTGCCTTCTCACTAAGTCCTCACATGGCCTTTTCTTAGTGCATGTGAGCACTCTCTGGTGTCTCTTCTTATAAAGACACTAATCACATCAGATCAGGGTCTCACACTTATGACCTCATTTAACCTTAATCACCTCCTTCTAGGCCCCATCTCCAAATATAGCCATGCTGGGGGTTAGGGCTTCAACATATAAATTTGGGGGGGACACAAATATTCAGTCCATAACACCATTTTACCCTCATAGATATCCCCCAGCTACGTGACCCCTCTCTTTCCACCACCTTGGCCCTGCTGTCTCCCTGCTTCAGCTACTGCACTGGCTTTCCCGCTCATCTCCTCTCCTGCCTGCCACATGCTCCCTGTAGAACCCTTTCCAAATGGACAATTGATCACTGAACATCCAGTAAGGTTTTTCACCAATATCGTCTAATCTAATTTTCCCAACAACCCTGCAAAGTGGTAGAAACCCAAGGCAAAGTGAAGGCTCAGTGTTGCCCAGAGCCAGATTTGAATCCATAGACTCTAAAGTGCATGAAAACACCAGAAAGGGTGTCAGGCCCATAATACACACAATTAATGATTGGCAGATGAATGGGGTTTACATGTAATCATAACTTCAGCTTCTCCTTCAATAGTACTTATGGCAAAGGTGATTTCCCTTCTGACTCCAACTACAGAGATCAGGCTCTCTGTTTTGCTGCCTCATTGGGAGAAATGAAGAGTTAACATTTTGTAAATCAAACAAAAAGTGCATACCGTTCCTGTTAAGGACAGGTTCTCACATGTGACTTCAATAATTTATTGGCAGATTTATTTGCACTTTTAGGGGTAGAAATTTTACAAGAATGAAATGACAAACGAACTACTGCTTTGTCTTAATTCCCCATTACGTGACGTCCTAACCTTTGTTCACTGAGGTAGAGGGCACTGCCCCACTCACTGGAAGATCAAGTTGAACAAACCAGGTGAGACACTCACCTCCCCACAGTGTTCCTTGGAGACCTTTGAGGTTTGAGGGGGTGGCTCCTCTCACCAGCTATCCCTGGCAGTTACTCTGGGCTACTTCTGCACATGCATACCTGAAGGTCTCAACCAAATGCACAAACAGCTGCCTGAACAGGCCTGTCCAGTCATGCCTTGGTGTTGGGGGCCTTGGGGTGATGCCTTCACCAGGGTTCAGTCAAGACTTTTCCCCAAGGCCAGTAGCTGTTCCCCATCCTCACCCCAAACTTCAAATGTAGAATGAGACTGGGTGATCTCAAGCCTGGATAAAGTCTGGCCCTGACACTCAGATGGAGGGCTGTGTGCCTCTGGATAAGTTACCAAACCTCTCTGGGTTTGGGCCTCATTAAAGGTACCTGGCCCTGGGCCGAGCCCGTGGCGCACTCTGGAGAGTGCGGCACTGGGAGCGCAGCAGCGCTCCCGCCACGGGTTCGGATCCTATATAGGGATGGCTGGTGCGCACACAGCGCTCACTGGATGAGCGCGGTGCAGCCGATCTCAAAAAGGACAAAAAAAAAGGTACCTGGCCCTAATATCACCATGTGGATAAATAAATCAACCTTCTAGGCCCTTTGCAAATATTATTTCTGGACCTGTAAAGTCAGTGTTATCATCATTTCAAGAAAGTAGAAACTGAGGCTTGGAGAGGTGAGTAGGTTCATCCAATTCCATAGCTGGTTCTGCTACCCACGAGAGGTAGAGGCATCCAGGAACATGAACAAGTTTGTTGCATCCAGGGATGTGGTCTCACTTGGAGCTGCACGTCCACCGGGGGTCACCCCAGGTGCTGGTCTGTGGTCTCAGGGGCTGTGGGCTGGAGGCCTCCTGGTGAACAGGCAGGCGCGTGCTTGGGACCACTGCTGGCTCCACAGACACCGCCTTGCTGTGCTGGGTAAACAGTCCACTTTCCATGCCCTCCCCCCAGGCCCGCCTTTCCCCACTCCCACTGCCTATTTAAGCCAGAGGCCCGACTCAGCCCAGGCACAGCCAGCTTCCAGAGCCAGGAGAGCAGCACTGCAGGCCCTGCTCACCAGTGGATGAAGGGTCCTTCTGTTTCACCGTTTCCTACCGGTGCGTTTTGAATGATGATGCTGAATTGGGTTGTAGCAGGAGCTGATTCTAGTCGCCTGGGAGCACACTGAGATGTATAGATGGCAGAGGGAGACTCTGATTGAATTTTTCCCATTTCTAATCCCTGACTTCATGTGATCCTATTTTCAAAGAAGGAGAAAGCCTGTAGTTTGTGAAAGGACAGGGGAGAGTGTATTTCAAAACAAGGTCTGGCTCAGAATATCAATGATCTGACATGTTTTTCCTTCCTTCTGAGAAAAGGGCCTGTAATTTCAAGGTTTTAGAGATTCCATTTCCTCTCAGGAACCCCTCCCTAAATAGGCAGTTCCTGTCATTTAATTCTATTTCGAGAAGTTGTGCAGGAGATTTTTCAGAACAGTTGGGAAGGGGTGCTAAGTAGCTGAGGGTGGGGGGCAGTTTGGGGAATGTCAGAGGCCAAAGGTCCTGTTCAACACCCTTCTCAGTGAGAGATGAGGAGTGAGCTCCTCCCCACCGAAGAGAGGGCAGTGGGACTGGGATTCGCACAGGTCCGGGTGGCTCAGGAGAGCCTGCCGCCTTATGCCCCCCTCCAGATGCTTCCTAGCTTGTAGTCTAGGCTCAGGCTAGTCCAGAGAGAAGGTGAGGAACAGAAGCACATGCAGGTGGTCAGCCGACCAGGTGAGGAGGCATCCCGGGGATAGGGAACAGGTACTTAGCCACAGGGAACAAGCCAGAGTGTCCTAGGGGAACCCAGGTCACCACATGTAGAGCGTGGGCCTGGGAGCTCTCGCTTTCTTCTTCCCACCCTGATCTGGCAACATCAAGTACCAATGCTCATTTGGTCCTGGCCACGGCCAGTCAAGATCCTGTAGTGGCCCCCATTGTTACAGGGGAGGGGGCATCTGAGGCTCAGAAATTAAGTGACTTGCCCAAGACCATTCAGCGGCAGGACGGCTGACAGGGACAAGAACCAAGTCTCCCTGGAGCCCACACCTTTCTATGTGGATTCCTAATCTGAAGGGAGCCAATTGTTTGCTATGGAGGAGTCACTCCTGCCGGCGCTGCCGCAACATCTTTGGCTAGGGGACAGAGAATGGATTGGGGTTCAGATTTCAGATTCTTCTTAGTTTGGGTAATCTGCAAAATGTATATGAAGGACGGGGTATGGTCCGGAGGGGCCCTGAGGAGTGACGGTGGCCATACTCGTGATGCGGCGGTGGTAGGAGGGCTTTGGGCAGCAGCAGAACTGGCTTGAGAAGGTGCAGAGAGCACGAGGCCACGCTGGGCTGGGCTGAACTTGGACGCCGAGACTGGGCCTGAGACCAGGGGGCGGAGCCCGGAACCAAGGATTCGGCCAGAGAGTTGGGGGCGGGGCCTGGGACTCGGAAGCCGGACTAAAGAGCGGGACTGCGCCTAAGGCCAGGGGCGGGGCTACAGGGTGGGGGCGGAGCCTACGAACGGGGACTAGGGCCCAAGTGTGGAGGGCAGCGTCCCTCGGCTGGGTCTGCAAGGGGTGCGGGGAGCCGGTAGCATCGTGTCCAAAGGCCTCCGCTCACACGAGTGCCCTCCCAACCGTCCCCTCCGAAGACACAGTTGGGTTCACCAAGTGTCCCCGTTGAGCCTCCCCTCCGCCTGCCTGTTTACCCGCTCCCTTACCTGCTGCCAAATCCCTCTGGTTCTTCCTCTCAACGCTGCTTCCTCCCCAAACCACCCCCATCCCGGTGGCCACTGTGCCTCTTCCCGGGCCTGGGTTCAGCTCTCCCCGACCCCCAGGTATCTATGCGAATCAGAATACGCAAAGCTCCTGGGGAGATCTCTGATTGCTCCGGTTCTCCTATCAGATCAAACCCAAGCCAGGTGGCTGGAGCTCTGAATTCGCCTCTTCCTCCCCGCCCCCACCCCCGCACACCGCCCGGATCAGGCTGTCCACGTGGAGGGCTCGTTCATCCCACCCTCGGAGTCCTACCAGCCTGCCAACCCTCGTCCACCCGGGTCTGTCCAGATCTGTCACAAAAATCCCTGCCCCCACCCCCTCCGGCTGCACTTGGACAGCCCGGCCCACACCCTCGCCCTGGCGACACGGAGGGTGTGGCAGTGCCTCCGGGCACAGGTGGGGCCCCTCGGTCTTTGTACCTGGCTCAACTGCTTGGGTGGCTGTCGGTTGAGTTCCGGAGATTGTTCTGGACCTCTGTGAACTGTTCATCTCCTTTTAGGTCTTAGCTGCAGTGACTTGCCCTTTTCAGAAAGGACAACAAGGTCCACGTGGCCCCTCCTCAGGTAAGAGGAGGCTTCTGGAACCACGGAGGTGGGGGGGTGGGGCAGGGAGGGAAAGGGAGGGGTGCCGCTCCAGACCTCCACTTGTGGGCTACTTGTTAATGTTTTTATATGAAGAGGTGCTGTGTGAGATTGTTTAAGAAAAGCTTCTGTGGCCTGATTAAAAAGTTTGAAAACCACAGCTCTGTGGTAAGTAATCTGGGGCATGCGTGTGCATCCCATCCTAACCTGCCCTCATGTACAATACAACACAAAGAGGGTGCGTCTGCACATCCGAATCTATGGAGAAAATAAACTCCTTCAATGCGTAGGAAAAGGATTGAAGCAGCATTTCACAAAAGTGAAGGGACACAAGTTTTCTGGAAAATGTAACCAGATATCATTGCCCACTACACTATCAAAAATAATTTTTTTTTTTTTTGTCTTTTTCCGTGTCCGGCAACAGATCACAACCCTCAGTGTTGCCCCCGTACCGGACCGGGGACCGGCAATGGGATCACAACCCTCGGTGTTGCTCCCGCGCCTCGCTCAGCCAGTGAGCGGGAACCGGTCTGTATGTGGGATCCGAACCCTCGGGCGGGAGCGCCGCCACGCTTCCCAAGCGGCGCACTATCCAGTGCGCCACCGGGCCGGCCCCCCAAAATAATTTTTTTTAAATGCTAAAACCCAGAGCTGGTAAGGACGCTGTGAAACAGGCATTCTCAAACAATCTGTAAATTGGTAGAAAGTAGTTTGGCAATATGTAACAGAAGCTTTACAGTTTACCGAGTAATTCTATTCTTGAATCCATCCCAGAAAAATAAGTCAAACTACTGGGCCATTCTTAGAAATAAAAGCAGAAACCAGGAACACAGTGACCCCGACAGTCAGGAACCTCGGACCAGGAGCCAGACAGCAAGACCATTATAAGAACCCAACACTTCCTAAATATTGGCAAATTAAATGTTTTCATGGTTGCTAGAAGGTCACTAGGCTGTGGGCAGGGAAATTTGGGGTGCAAAGTGGTGACTGGATGGGAGGTGGATAAGGTCTGCAGCTCGAAAGGAGGGAGGAAGATCTTTGGGGTCTGCCAGTCTCAGTGGGAAGTAGGTGGAATGTAACCTTCAGGGGACAGAAAAGGGCAAGAATCTTGTTTCGTGGGAATTGAGGAGGGGGGACATGTGGGACTGTATTACCCTTCCCCAGGAATGTACCCTGGAAGTAAGGGGGGGCTGGTGCAGGATGGCATCATTGGCATATTTTGAATATGTTTGCATATCATTTCTATTCACCCTTGGTCAGAAAAGTAGAGAGAAAAGGGAAATTAGAGTCAGGTGACCTGGCTGCACCTCTCAGGGACCATCATGTGCCCAAATCTCAGTTTCCTCATCTGTAACCATACCCATTTGGGCTGGTTGTACTGTGTAGATGCACCCATAGTGTGAAGAGCACATTCTGTGAGGTGCATGCTGTGGGACATCTGCTCAGATGTCTCTGAGAGGTGGATCTGTTATTCCTGCCTTTCTGATGGTCATTTCTAGTCTCCCTCATGTCTTTACTGTGTACTGGCTGGTGGCTGTGCTCCCACCTCAGCAGGGAAAGGGAGGAGGGAATGAGTTCAAGGTCCTGAGCAGGCCGCAGGTGGCCTCAGATGAATGGCATTGCTGAAGCCATTCTGGCTGTGGCTCTGGGTCAGCAGGGGGCCGGGGTGGCCACTTGTCCTTTAGATAGCAGGGATTCTTATTGTCTACCTACCTGACACACAGCTAGCATCAGGCTTGCAATAAAATACTGAGTGCCTATGGGCAGCAGGGCACAGGCCTCATTCTCATTTGGAGAACTCTCATATCCTGGGACTGGAGGTTGGCGTGGGTGGGTGAGCACCCCCGCCCCCAGAGCTCCACGTGGGCAGGGTCCCTGGACCTGCAGAGACAGCTCAAAGGGCGCTCCCTTCTTTTTCCTTGAGGGATGAAATTTGCCTACATAGCTCGAGCCTCCTATTTCTCAGTTCTGTTTCCAGCTTGATAGATGTGGTCACCCAACATGGGCTGGTCACCTTTCTAAGTGTGCAGATGACAAACTCATGCCAGTACATGCACAGAAACAACTAACTGGCAAGAGAGAAATGGTCTGTTGAAGCAAGGCCTGAGTTCTTCTAGTTATCTCAGAGGCCATGGAGGGTGCTGGCTGGGGTGTGATGAAGAGACCACCATTGTGACTCTGCACCGAGAGCTCCTCTCCTGAGGCCACATCCCTTCGCACACATGAGGGCTACAAAGGAACAGCCCGAGCAGAGATGTGGAGGCCTAGAAGGGCATGGAACTGCTTGCATCAGGGCCCTGGGCTCCAGGAGCAGGAGACACAGAGCATTCAGGCCCCTGGGCAGAGCCTGCCCTTCCTGACCAGGTGGTTGGGCACCCTCCTGGAGTCAGTGAGAGCCACTGAAGGATTTAACAGGGGAGCAGTGTGGTCTCATGTGTAGTTTAGAAAGATCCTACCAGCTGCCAGGTGGGCCAAAGGAGGGAGGCCAGTGCGGGGAGACCAGGCAGAGGCTGTGCAGAATCTAGGTGGCAGAGGACAAGGCCTAAAGTGGGGCATGGCTGTGGGAATGGCCTCTGGGATTAGGGAGGCAGAACTGTGGGCAGTGAGAGGAGACAGGGAGTGGAGGAGGTCCAGGGCCCCGGGACAACCCGGGGGACAAAGTTGGCGTTGGGACAGTGAAGGAGGAGGAATGCTGAACTTCTAGGGGAAGACATGGAGCTGTCAGCTGGGGGTGTCCTCTAGAGAGGGCGGGACATAGGAAGGTGGGGGGTAAGGAGTAGAGCAAGCCGTGAACAGAAGAGAGGCAGGTGAGGTGGAGGGTAAGAGCGAGAGCTGAGAGTAGGCACAAGGGAGGTGGAGCCACTCGGGAAGTCCTGCCTGCCAGGGCCATGCCCTCCGTGACCATGACAACTGCCAGATCCCGATTTGGGCCTGAGAAGAGGGCCCGTGCACTCACTTACAGTTTGCCCTGGTTGGGTTCTTCCCCTTCAGTGCATGGACCGTCTGGTTAGCACGCCACCCACACCATGCCAACCAGGCTAGCCTCAGCAATCCCTCCTGCTCAGAGTGTGCTGGCTGTGTCTGTGTCCTGCAGTCTGGGGGGCTGAGTGAGCCTCTGGCTGGCTGGCCAGGGGTCTGGGTGGTGGCCCTCAACCAGAAGTAAGGTTGGTCAGGGTGTCTCACCAGGTTTTCTGGTAAAGTTTTGGAGAGAAAACATCCAGAACAGAAGTCAGCACCAATGAGAAAACAGTCCATGCGGTTTCAGCCAGATTTGCTTTAAGAAATAGGCCTAACAGGAGGCTTGAGCAGCTCATTCCTCATCTGCTCTCTGGTCTCTGCTCCTGGGTCCTGGGTCACTGTCCTTCTTGCTCCCCCCCTGCTCTTGGGACTGCCCCTTTTCAGAGCCCTTTGGTGTCCCTTCCTTCCCTGCCCACCCTTCCACCCTGCTCTGAGGAGATATTCAGGAGGCAGTGGACAGCCTCACAGGCGGGTCAGGGGCCTCTCTAACAAGCAGCTCTTGGTTCTGCCCGAGCTGAGCACCCCCTCTCAGGGGGTGGAAGATTCTGGTTGGTTCTTTCAGAGACAAGGACTCTCATGGTGCCATGTGCAGAGGGAGGAACTGAGTATAGCAGTGGCCTGGGGTCGGAAGTCTCTGAAAGGGCCCAGGGAAGTCTCTGAAAGGGCCCGGGACATAGTGAGCTCCGATCTCAGGCACACCTGCCCGGGGCTGCGGGGGGTCACTTCTCAATTCACTCATTTGCTTTTTAATCTCTGCATAAATTCCCCTCTAGAGCTCATTTTGTTAAATGTTCTCTGTGTAGAAAACTTTAGGCTGAATGTGAAATGATTCCCTTCAGAAAAATTTTAGCAAGTCTGTTCTGTTTTAGGAAGGTTTGTCATCTTAATCTGTGTTCTCTGGTGCCTTGAAATGCCTACACACCACTCAGCCAGCCCATCCATTCCAAGAGGAAGCGCTGTACTCAAAACGCAGCCGGCACGGGGTCTGCATAGATCCCAGCATTTGTGTGGACTCATGGTTAGAGTCCCACTCCCACAGAAAGCAGCTGTCATTCCTTCTCTAGTAAAGTGTGTTCCAAGCCCTGTTCAGCTGATGAACCATTAACATCAGCCTTGATGTCAAGGAAGCAGGGGCTTTGCTGGAACAGAAGCCTCAACAGCAGAGCCTGAGAGAAGCGAGACTGCTCTGGTCTCCATCCCTCAGGAGGGTCTCCTGACGGTGGAGGTGGCACTGCCAGCTGGGAGCATACCGGGGGCCAGTGGCATGTCCTTGGCCCTCAGCTAGCTGGACAGCCCCATCACACAGCGGACACCCCAGAATTCACCTGAGGCAGGTGACATGACCTTCTGGGGAGTTCCAGGACCCCCTGCTTGTGGCTGTTTGCAAGACGCAGATCAGGCACAGACCTCAGCACCCAGGCAGATTCAGACTGCTTGAGGCTGCTGGCCCTTATGCAACTAGATGCTCAGCTCTTGGCTGTAGCCTCCAGTTCTGCCCTGGAGCTGCCCTGGCAGTGCCTCACTGGAAGAAGCCCTATGAACAGGGTGGAGATCTCAGGCCCTATCTTCATCATGGAGGAAGCCCTCACCCTCTGGCCTCTCCTGTTGCAGGCTCATCCTCCATGAGGGCACAGGGTGTGCTGGTGTCAAGTGGGCTTCTGCTCCAGCAGACTCCAAGCACACAGATCTGGTTGCAGGCAGGTTTTTTGTTTTTTGGGTTTTTTTAAAGATGACCAGTAAGGGAATCTTAACCCTTGGCTTGGTGTGGTCAGCACCACGCTCTCCCCAGTGAGCCACGGGCTAGCCCTTGCAGGCAGGTTCTTGAGTGTAAGACAGGGTCCATGGGAAAATGAGGGAAGGTGCCACTCAGGATGGCTCAGGCGTGGATTCAGGTGCCAGCCACTATCCAGCCTTCTCCCTAATGGTGCCCTTTGCAGTCACCAGTAGATGAATCTGCAGTGGCA